TTTTTTCACGAGGCCACTGGACTTTCTTGTTTTTCTTTGAAGACGTTTCACTTCTCCTCCCAGGAGCTTCTTCGGCTCTGACTGGGATGGTGGGGAATGGAAGGATTTATACTCCTTGCAGACAGCCGGTCATTTGCCTCCTTTTGGAGAGTCGTTGAGGCCTCAGCAGGCATTCAAGGCTGTAAAAAGTTAAACAAGAAACCACAAGCCTGTGGGTTAAGCCTATGACCAAAAACCACAGAAGGCATACATAAATATTTTTACAACTTCTTTACCTTATCTGTTATGTGCTAGCTTCCTCTCATGTAACTAAGTAAAAATAAGAAATCTATCTATCTATCTATCTATATATATCAGTGTGTTCGGGGTTCTTCCAATTTAAGGGAGGGCCCACTTTTATTCAGCTGAATAAATGTGTTTGGCTTGTCACCAGACATCACAACTCTCTCCTCATTTCTGCTGAGTCCTGCCTGAATTCTGTTTAACGTGATGCTCTCTGAGCTTGGTGGTTTTCTTCCAGATGTTTCATGACCCAACTAGGTAACATCATTGGTGCAGGAGGAGGAGGAGGAGGAGGAGGAGGAGGACTGTGAGATTCTTGGTGCTCTCTGAGCTTGGTGGGGGTTTTTTGGTGATGTTTCATGACCCAACTTAATGACACCATCAATGCTAGAAGGGAGTGTGGGGCTTCCTCTGTGTTAATATACAGGGGCTACAGAAAATAATAGCCTAATCAAGGAACCCACCAAGGACACTCCCACCAACACTGACAGGGCAAGCCACTAGTATATAAACACAGAGCAAACCCTTCTAGTACTGATGATGTTACCTAGTTGGGTAATGAAATGTCTGCAAGGCAATCAAGCTCAGAGAGCACTAAGAATCCTACAATCACCCTCCTCCTCCTGCTGAAGACGTTACCTAGATGGGTAATGAAATATCTCCAAGAAAACCACCAAGCTCAGAGAGCACCAAGGGCTCTACAGTAGTCATCGTCGTCGTCGTCGTCGTCGTCGTCCTCCTCCTCCTCCTCCTCCTCTTCCTCCTCCTCCTCCCCATAAATCCCACTCCCTTCTGGCACTGATGATGTTACCTTGTTGGGTCATGAAACGTCTGCAAGAAAACCACCAAGCTCAGAGAGCACCAAGGACCCCAGAGTCCATTTCCTCCTCCTCCTCCTCCTCCTCCTCCTCCTCCTCCTCCTCCTCCTCCTCCTGCCGCTCCTTTCTACCACTGATGACATTACCTATTTGGGGCATGAAACATCAAATATTTCCAGCTCAGAGAGTGTCAAGGGCACCTGCACATCCTAGAAATCTCTGTCTATCACAGAAGTCCTAGAATAGATCGTCCGAGAACTACCAGGAGGGATCCCTTAAGGATCATCAAGTCCATGCCTCTGCAATATATTTTTTTTTTAAAATAAATAAATAATAAAGAAATGGTGTCAGAAAAACAATTCAATCACCCTAGAGTTGTGTTCTCTTAAAAAAAAAATAACCCTACCTAAGATGATATGGGAACCCACCGGGAAGATCAAATCCTTCACCGTTTTGGAGAGGTAATCTTCAGGGAGTGTTTCCTGATATTTATACAACAACAACAACAACAACAACAACAACAACAACAACAACAATAATAATAATAATAATAATAATAATAATAATAATAATAAAGTTGGAAGGGACCTTGGAGGTCATCTAGTCCAACCCCCTGCTCAGGCAGGAAACCCTATACCATTCCGGACAAATGGCTGTCCAGTTTCTTCTTAAAAACTTCCAGTGTTGGAACATTCGCCGCTTCTGGAGGCAGGTTAAAACTGGTTAATTGTTCTCACTGTCAGGAAGTTTCTCCTTAGTTCCAGGTTGCTTCTCTCCTTGATGAGTTTCCACCCGTTGCTTCTTGTCCTGCCTTCAGGCGCTTTGGAAAATAGCTTGACTCCCTCTTCTTTGGGGCAGCCCCTGAGATATTGGAAGGCTGCTATCCTGTCCCCCCTCATCCTTCTCTTCATTAAACTAGACAGACCCAATTCCAGCAACCGTTCCTTATATGTTTCAGCCTCCAGTCCCCTAATCTGGGTGCTTGCAGCTTCTTTTTCCTATTTTTTGCATCCTGGTTTCTCTGTTTCTCTGAACACCTCTGTCTGCAACTGGTTTGGGCTGCAGGTGCCCCCAAATCCTGCTGGGCCTTGGGTGGGCTAGGCTCTGGCAGCCCAAACGCCCTCCACAGATGTTCGTAGCAATGGCTGCCTCCATTCCCCCGTTCTCCAATTGCCTCAATTAGTTTGCTGACTCTCCCCAATGTGAGCCTTTACAGAGAGATGGGGCTGGACTACAGTTCCCATCTTCCTAACCACTTGGTTCCGCTGTCTGCGTGATGGGAGGAGCCATGCCTGGAGAGTACCAAGGTGGGAAAGGTGAACCTAGAAAGACTCTGGAACAGTGTTTCTCAACCTTGCCCGCTTGAAGATGGGCGGACTTCAACTCCCAGAATTCCGCAGTCAGCCTTGTTGGCTGGGGAATTCTGGGAGTTTAATTTAATTTAATTTAATAATTTAATTTATATACCGCCCTTCTCCCGTAGGACTCAGGGCGGTGCACAGCATATTAAAACAGACAAACAAAATACATCAAAGAACAAAAAACCCCCATAAAACCAAATTAAAAGCCAAATATTCGAAGCTGTGTGTCAATTAAAATTTTCTTAAAATCATCCCTACCTAAAATCC